ACACTCACAAAAAAAACCCAAAAAACAAAACAAAAAAAAACCGGTATGTTTCTTTTTCCGTATAAAAACATATACATGTACATATCAACAGGTGTCTCAGTGTGCAAATACATTACTATGGTTGTATATATACAGTCATGTGTTAGTGTCCACTTGTGCATAGTAATATTTCTAAAAACAAAGGGAATATAAAACATTCAAAATTGCTGTTCCTATATGATTATTCCTTAGTGTACTTACTTAGGTTTAGGTTGTTTTTGTGTCGGCATTTAAACACTAGTTCATTATGTTTATTTAGCAGTATGTCCGGATCTTTTGTGTTTGATTATGAAGATTTTCTCCTTCAGACATAAGTTGCATCTGTCTCTGAAGTTTTGGGAGTTTTGGCTCTTGATATTATTCTCCACTTTATTTGTGGTGTTAGGCCACTCTCAATAAAGACCAATAATGTTTTGATAGTGCTGTTTGTTTTTTTTTATTTTTGTTTTTGAAGGATTGGCGATGGTTGTATAGACGGTGTTTCCAATCTCCCGCTGATATTCCAATGTATATCTTTTTTTCTTCAACCTTTTCTTTGGGGAAAATTGTTGCTTCATATACTGTGTTCTCTGCCATGCACATTCCCTCAACTGGGCACTCTGATCCTGTCCTGCAGTTGCATGTTGGTTTGTCCATTTGTGTTGTGTCCTGATCTTGTCTTAGATTATCCTGAAGGTCTTTTAAAATTTTACTGTTGTGTGAGCTAATAATTCTCTCCATATTGTTCATGCAAGAATAGATTCATCTTGTTGAATATTTTTTTCAGAGATGCATTTTCGCTAAAGTGTTTTTCTATCAGTTTTATGAAGTATTCTGATCCTGTTCTGTAGTTATATATATATTTAATTATACACACATATATATATATACTCGCACACACAAACACACACATACACACGTGTGTGTCTGTGTGTGTGTGTGTGTGTGTGTGTGTGTGTGTGTGTGTGTGTGTGTGTGTGTGTGTGTGTGTGTTTGTGTGTGTGCCTGCCTGCGCGTGCAGGTATGCGTGTTGTAGCCCTTTGCTAAATTTAGCTACAGTGAATTCTTTTAGTAAATACTTACGTACAAATTTGTTTGGTCCAGGGCTGGATACGACTGCGAAGGATACTATTATCTGCTCTGCCTCATATGAACTAAAATCACTATGCCACCCAAGCAAAAAAAAAAAAACAAAACAAAAAAACAAACAAACAACCAAAAAAAAAATCTTTAACTGCTCGTTTAACTTACCTGCTTAAACGTTTCTGCAGACAATCTGTTTTCAGCACTAAAAATAAATCGTTTAAAATTCTCGTTTCTATTCATAAATCCCAACTAAAGAACAAAATTGTTCCCAATAAGTGTGTGTATCTATTTTATTCAGTGGCATTTAGTACGAGTTTATTTATATGCCTAAACGTTTTACCTGTATAATATAAGCAGATAACGAACTATACAGAACTTCAAAAGCTAGTGAGTAAGCTCTTAAATGACTATTTAGTTCCTATACATGCCACTTTACAAATATGTCATTATTAAGTAGAATGAATGAATGAATGAATGAATGAATAATGAATAATAATAATAATAATAAGAAGAAGAAGAAGAAGAAGAAGAAGAAGAAGTAGTAGTAGTAGTAGTAGTAATAGAAAAATGTGGAAACTGAAAAAGTAATATTACCAGACATAATAGGTGCGCTTGGAATAAAAAAAAATAACACATTGAAAAAATAACTGGAAATCCCACTTTAAGAGAAATAAAAAAACATTGTCTTGATAAGTACAGCCAACACAATAAGAATTTTTCCAAGTAACGCTAGTGATGTTATGGGAATTAGAAATCCAAATCATGAAATGTAGCCATAATAAAACACCACTACCTGCCCTTGGTCTCCGTGCAGACTTCATAGGTAGTGTGACCATAGCAGAAATATATAATAATAATAATAATCCTCTCCATCTTCCCAAATATACAAAGATAACACTCATTCAGTGCCATTTTTATACATGGACCTCACAAAGGACTTGGTAATTAGGCCCTTAAAATTACTATTTAGCAAGACGATACCACACACAATAGTAACAAAAGAACTGCTTGGAACAGCTCATGTGCTGAAGAAACTGTTGTGTCATCGCCCAGTTAAAACATCTAAGAGTCAGAGAGGTTATCAAATCAAATAATAATAATAATAATAATAATAACAATAATAATAGTTAAGAGCGTGATTTAAGAAAATACAAAGAAAAGAAAAAACAGTGTTTCACAATGTTAAACAATATTTCAAAAGAATGTCTATCTCCTTCAAGTTATATTAAAACAATTTTTTCAAATATGAAAATATATAAATCTACAAAAATTATTATAAGTCTTTGTAGAAACGATGCTTGTTTTCTAATGAAAAACAGCTGTACTGGTAATGAACGCATCAAAATGAACGAAACGCCGCCCGCGCGAAGGCATGCAAAAAACGTGCTTCATATGATGGTGATCTTCTTCATTTTGAAATTTTCCGTTAGTTCATTAGGTACTTAGAGGAATTAATCAAAGAGCTGAGAATAAATCTCATGGAACTCTCCTGTCATTCTGTTCATTTTGCCGGGACAGGAAGTTAGTAATTTGCTTACGTAACCATCTTCAAGCGTTTTAAGGGTCGACAGGTTGGTAGATTCTGAATATTTTTTCAGAATGTTCACCTTAAGGCGTTTGTCGAAATTACAGTCGTTAGTAATAAAATATTCTGCTCGGTTGATGTCACATTATGGGAAGATTTACGTTAATCTTTAATGCTACATTGTTTTATTATTATTATTATTATTATTATTATTATTATAACAACATCAACAATTCCAGTTGTAGTTGGAGCACTCGGATTGATTGAAAAATATTCCAGTAGACTAATTGAAGACATTCCTAGAAGCCTATGCCTTAAAGAAATACAGTCTAACCCGGATATAAGAGAGTTGTCGGGATCGGAGAAGAAGTCTCTTATATCCGGGTTTCTCTTATATCCGGGTTTGGTCTATTTTATATACATTAACACAGGCTCTAATTTGGGACCAGAGAAAATCTCTCTTATATCCGGGTTTCTCTTATATCCGGGTCTCTTATATCCGGGTTACACTGTACAACAAATTGTTCTCACGAGTACAGCCCGCACCTTTCGAATGGCTTTGTCTATGTAAAATATGTGTGTTATTTTTTAAAATTGGTCGGTGGAAAATGTCATTATGCCATTTCTGACCTTAGGTCACTGGTCGAGACTCGGAAAGAAATGAGTACACACCAGAAATCAAATGAAATAATAATAATAATAATAATAATAATAATAGCAACAGCAACAACAACAACAACGACTGCAAGTAGAAAAGATAAAATGCATAAAATGCTTGTTCATTTGTTAAACAAGAATAAACCGTGATCAAAGTTTAACAAACTGACCCGCAAAAAAGGCATTTTGCTAAAAAGATGCTGTTTTTCTCTTGACGCCGCTATTACTGTATAATTCTTCGGTAAATTTTATAGTTTGAAAAAGCTGTTTTAAGAAAAACTTGATAAAACCCAAACATATGAAATTGGAATTATGCATTCTTTTTTTTTCATTTTCAAAAGTATTAAGCAATATACTTGTAAATGAACACACTAATAAATAACTCGGACGAACTACATTCCCTGGTCCTGCCAAGTCAAACTTTCACGGCAAGAGCACGCCATGCCACTTACATAGTAGCAAATCACCCGCATTCCCTCCGTATTCGATTGGTGAGAATTTTCACTTGAGCAGCTTCTTCCCGCGAACCGCTGCCCTGTGGAACAAACTCCCAAGAGGATGTTTCCCCCGATCGCTACAATCTTAACCTGTTCAAGGATCGGGTTAACCGTTATCTTCCACTCTTATGCACACAAATCCTAACGTATCTCTCGAGTGGACCCCGTGCTTTTTTAAAGGATAAACCTTACTGGGAAAAAAATTGCTGTTACATCACGGAAAAAATAAACATAAATCAAGATGGCTGCAACCGCTTTTAGTGAATTTATCAGGCGAAAGCAAATGAAAGACGCTGCTGAAAAATGCATTTTTTTTCAGAATCTATAATTGTAGTTACTCTAAGCTGTGAGCTTATTTTAATTTTCGTCTTCATTATTCACAAACATTTACATGAGTTCATGAATAAACATTCTTTCGCAGTTATCTCTTTATAATAAGTTAAATAATATATATTGCTGTATATTTGCTTCGCACATTTTATGCCTGTCCTGAGTATGACGATAAACTACATCCGCGCCCTGGGTAAGACGATAAACTACATCCGCGTCCTGAGTATGACGATAAACTACATCCGCGCCCTGGGTAAGACGATAAACTACATCCGCGTCCTGAGTATGACGAAAAACTACATTCGCGTCCTGGGTAAGACGATAAACTACATCCGCGTCCTGGGTAAGACGATAAAATACATCTAACCGCAAGACCTCTGATCAGGAGATTTTGAGGAGCGTGGAACCACCTCTTAATTGCTGATGTTCCCAGTTCTGCCCTTGTTATAGTGAAACAACTACATAACAACTTGACGACGAGGATTCGAACTCATACAGATGAAGAAAAATTTATCGTACGCCATACAACACTTGGCGACAGTATTCGGATTCATACGAAGGAAGAAAAACATTCGTACTACATAACACACTAGCACACCGATACTCATATTAGCATTAACGTAGCCATTGATACACTAATGCTGAATGCAAATATAGAAAGACAAGATAAACGACTGTAATAAACAAAACATTTAATAAGGCAAACAACTTACATACATATAGTAAAAGGATTTACATATGTCCCAAAACAAATGATTGTTCATACTGTCCAAGGAACGAGGATGTTTACAGAACGAGAACAAAGAAATAACATACCAACTTTATGACCTTTGACCATCCGTAGATAAGTGAATAGAAATTACTTTTTTTTCTTTACACCAGGCTAAAAAAAAACAAAAAAAAAACAAATGTTGTTTTTTCTTCATATTTTCTGTAAAAGATGAAAAATAAATAAAGAAAACCGTTTACTCATACGGAGTAAAGTTTTAAGGGGGGATGTTATAGTGAAACAACTACATAACAACCCTATACCTGGGTGGTAGCACCTGTTAGGTTCCCAGCTATGGGCAAATAGTTAACCACCAAACTGGGGTCAGAACATTATGAAAATGTAAAAATAGGTTTTAATACCAGAAATACTTTATAAAAAAAATATTACCAGCGATACATTGTTTCCAGCAATACATTTTTGAAAAAAAATAAATTACCAGAAATATATTTATGAAAAAAAAAAAATTACCAGCAATAAAAATTCTGTTGCCATTAAATAACCCATTGAGGTTTATATGCCGTAAAACAAACCAAACCAAACCATATTTTATAAACTTGTAAATATAAAATTAGTAAATATATATTACAAAGTGTTAACCAATGTATAAAATAAATAGCGCGTAAGTTCTTTATTGTCAATTCTCTAGAGGTCCAGTAGATAAAAGCGTTGTTAATCACTTGACTCAAAGAGTTGTGAGTTCAATACCTAGCCACAGTAGAGGTGAACAAAAACATGGAGAAATGAGTTAAAAGGAAATAACTGAAATTTTAATATGCGGAAGAGGCATGGCACTTGGGACTAGAACAATCTAATCCGTGTGTACGAAATAGAAGGTTCAGTTAGAAATTCCAGTCATTTGAAGAAGGCTGGAGCTTACAATGGCCGGACCGTCGTGAATATTACAACAATGTAAAAACTAAATAACTACAATACTCCATCTGAGAAATATAGACAGGTACTGTCAATTCTCGAGTAAAAAGTAAAGAATATATACGTCTTCTTCCATATTTTTTATTAATATTCGAAAAATAGCCTTTTAAAAACATAATAGTATCAAGAGAAAAAAAAACACCTTTTTGTCACGTCTTTTTCTTTTGCGGATACATATGTTAAACTTTGCCAAAACTGAACATAATGAGAATATTGCTCAATAAGAAAATATATTGAACTAAGCAAAAGAGAGTTAAAGCATAAAACCTTTACGGCTAGACCCCATCATGCTACTCCTATGGAGGGGAATTGGCGTCATTTCCCCCGTGCTTTTAATGTATGTAGAAAGTTCAGCTTAACCATCTTTTCCCATGAATTGACACTTTGTGAGACAGTCACTTACGTGAGTGCCTCCCTGATCACTACAATCTTTAAGTCAACGGTCATTCGTTATCCATCTTCCTTATCCTGATAATCTTCTCTTTTGACCAAACCATTCATAATTCACTTCTAATTCGTCACTACCATTGTAACAGTATCCTTCTAAGTTGACTGGCCCTCGTGTATTGTGTTGAGTGAATTCTAGTGTAGAAAAGAGGCTTCCTATAATAGTTAAGGATACAAAAGTTTCCTTAAAATGGATTTACACGGCTTAAGGATAAAACTGTAATGGTTACCAGCTCGGAAAATCGTATCGAGAAAACGTTTTCAAATTTTGGCCTGTTCTGTTGCGTATATTTTCACACAAATGCTCATGGAAAAGCATGAAATAATTTCATCCACGCTCCAGTCTTCGTTTTAAAGGAGAAGGACTAATTTCATTTCAAGACACTGAAGAAGGCAAATGTTATCCAGTAAGGCATGGCAATTCACAGATTATAAGGAAAGAAAAAAATAGTGAAGAGCCATGTTTGCCTACTTCCTGAATGGACATGATATGAAAAAATAAGAGAACTGTATTCACATATGTGTCTACTTATTCAGATCTCTCTCGCTCCTGTATGTCTTGCTCGTTATTTCTCCATCTAAATCTCTATCTATCTATGTATCTATCTATCTATCTATCTATCTATTATAAATATATATGTATGTATATAATAGTTCAACTCAGTACATTATATCCAATACTGTGCACCTTCTGAAAATAGAGCCACTTAAATTGTGAAACTATGATTTTAAGATCGTATTAATATATATATATATATATATATATATATATATATATATATATATATATATATATATATTGTTTATACGTTATTTTTATAGATACAATTTATTTAAGTAAATGCTCTGTTTTTAATGAAACAGTATAAATTACATTTACTGGACTGAATGTTCAAGATATATCATGGAAAATATGCTTTCTCGATAGGAATCGAACCTGTAGAGTGTTTATCAAAATACGAATTACTGTTTATGAAAACACAATGTTTTCGAACAATCATTTCTGATATATATATATATATATATATATATATATATATATATATTATTGAATATCATAAATTTTGCCTCTCTTTTTCATTCTATTTTGCTCTTTCTCTTTGTTTCTCACAGTTTCTCCTCTCTCTCTCTCAGTTTGTCTGTCTATATTTATCCACTTTCATCTATCTCGTCTTCCCCTCTCCTTTGAAATACCTTTTCGTCTCACTATCTCTCTTGCTTTGATTATCTCCCTCTAGTATATCACTCGATTTAATTTACCCAATTTCCTATCTCTCTCTCTATATATATATATTTTCCTTTTCTTTTCTCTCTTCTATTAATTTTCCTACCCAATTTCCTATCTCTCTCTATATATATATATTTTTCCTTTTTCTTTTCTCTTTCTATTTAATTTACCCAATTTCCTATCTCTCTCTCTATATATATATATTTTTCCTTTTCTTTTCTCTCTTCTATTTAATTTACCCAATTTCCTATCTCTCTCTCTATATATATATTTTTCCTTTTCTTTTCTCTCTTCTATTTAATTTACCCAATTTCCTATCTCTCTCTCTCTATATATATTTTTCCTTTTCTTTTCTCTCTTCTATTTAATTTTACCAATTTCCTATCTCTCTCTCTATATATATTTTTTTCCTTTTCTTTTCTCTCTTCTATTTAAATTACCCAATTTCCTATCTCTCTCTCTCTCTCTATATATATTTTCCTTTTCTTTTCTCTCTTCTATTTAATTTACCCAATTTCCTATCTCTCTCTATATATATATATATTTTCCTTTTCTTTTCTCTCTTCTATTTAATTTTACCCAATTTCCTCTCTCTTTTCTCTCTATATATATTTTCCTTTTCTTTTCTCTCTTCTATTTAATTTACCCAATTTCTATCTCTCTCTCTATATATATATTTTTCCTTTTTTTTCTCTCTTCTATTTAATTTACCCAATTTCCTATCTCTCTCTATATATATATATTTTCCTTTTCTTTTCTCTCTTCTATTTAATTTACCCAATTTCTATCTCTCTCTCTATATATATATATTTTCCTTTTCTTTTCTCTTTTCTATTTAATTTACCCAATTTCCTATCTCTCTCTATATATATATATTTTTCCTTTTCTTTTCTCTCTTCTATTTAATTTACCCAATTTCCTCTCTCTCTCTATATATATATATATTTTCCTTTTCTTTTCTCTCTTTCTATTTAATTTACCCAATTTCCTATCTCTCTCTATATATATATATTTTCCTTTTCTTTTCTCTCTTCTATTTAATTTACCCAATTTCCTATCTCTCTCTCTATATATATATTTTCCTTTTCTTTTCTCTCTTCTATTTAATTTACAAATTCCTATCTCTCTCTCTATATATATATTTTTCCTTTTCTTTTCTCTCTTCTATTTAAATTACCCAATTTCCTATCTCCCTCTCTATATGTATATATTTTCCTTTTCTTTTCTCTCTTCTATTTAATTTACCCAATTTCCTATCTCTCTCTCTCTATATATATATGTTCCTTTTCTTTTCTCTCTTCTATTTAATTTACCCAATTTCCTATCTCTCTCTCTATATATATATATTTTCCTTTTCTTTTCTCTCTTCTATTTAAATTACCCCTTTTCCTATCTCTCTCTCTATATATATATTTTCCTTTTCTTTTCTCTCTTTCTATTTAATTTACCAATTTCCTATCTATCTCTCTCTATATATATATTTTCCTTTTCTTTTCTCTCTTCTATTTAATTTACCCAATTTCCTATCTCTCTCTCTATATATATATTTTCCTTTTCTTTTCTCTCTTCTATTTAATTTTAATTTCCTATCTCTCTCTCTATATATATATTTTCCTTTTCTTTTCTCTCTACTATTTACATTACCCAATTTCCTATCTCTCTCTCTATATATATATATTTTCCTTTTCTTTTCTCTCTTCTATTTAATTTACCCAATTTCCTATCTCTCTCTCTATATATATATTTTCCTTTTCTTTTCTCTCTTCTATTTAATTTACCCAATTTCCTATCTCTCTCTCTATATATATATATTTTCCTTTTCTTTTCTCTCTTCTATTTAATTTACCCAATTTCCTATCTCTCTCTCTATATATATATATTTTCCTTTTTTTCTTTCTCTCTTCTTTTAATTTATTTTCCTATCTCTCTCTCTATATATATATATTTTCCTTTTCTTTTCTCTCTTTCCTATCTCTCTCTTCTTTAATTTTCAATTTCCTATCTCTCTCTATATATATATATTTTCCTTTTCTTTTCTCTCTTCTATTTAATTTACCCAATTTCCTATCTCTCTCTCTCTATATATATATATTTTCCTTTTCTTTTCTCTCTTCTATTTAATTTACCCAATTTCCTATCTCTCTCTCTATATATATATATTTTCCTTTTCTTTTCTCTCTTCTATTTAATTTACCCAATTTCCTATCTCTCTTTCTCTCTATATATATTTTCCTTTTCTTTTCTCTCTTCTATTTAAATTACCCAATTTCCTATCTCTCTCTCTCTATATATATATTTTCCTTTTCTTTTCTCTCTTCTATTTAAATTACCCAATTTCCTATCTCTCTCTATATATATATATTTTTTTTTTTCTTTTCTCTCTTCTATTTAATTTACCCAATTTCCTATCTCTCTCTCTATATATATATATTTTCCTTTTTTCTCTTTTCTCTCTTCTATTTAATTTATATATTTTTTTTTTCTATCTCTCTCTATATATATATATATATTTTTTTCCTTTTCTTTTTCTCTCTTTCTATTTAATTCACCCAATTTCCTATATCTCTCTCTATATATATATATTTTCCTTTTCTTTTTCTCTTCTATTTAAATTTCCTATCTCTCCAATTTCCTTTTCTCTCTATATATATATTTTCTCTTTTCTTTTCTCTTTTTTAAATTACCCAATTTCCTATCTCTCTCTCTCTATATATATATATTTTCCTTTTCTTTTCTCTCTTCTATTTAAACCCCAATTTCCTATCTCTCTCTCTATATATATATATTTTCCTTTTCTTTTCTCTCTTCTATTTAATTTACCCAATTTCCTATCTCTCTCTCTATATATATATATTTTCCTTTTCTTTTCTCTCTTCTATTTAAATTACCCAATTTCCTATCTCTCTCTCTATATATATATATTTTCCTTTTCTTTTCTCTCTTCTATTTAATTTACCCAATTTCCTATCTCTCTCTCTATATATATATATTTTCCTTTTCTTTTCTCTCTTCTATTTAAATTACCCAATTTCCTATCTCTCTCTCTATATATATATATTTTCCTTTTCTTTTCTCTCTTCTATTTAATTTACCCAATTTCCTATCTCTCTCTATATATATATATATTTTCCTTTTCTTTTCTCTCTTCTATTTAATTTACCCAATTTTCTATCTCTCTCTCTATATATATATTTTTTCCTTTTCTTTTCTCTCTTCTATTTAATTTACCCAATTTCCTATCTCTCTCTATATATATATATATTTTCCTTTTCTTTTCTCTCTTCTATTTAAATTACCCAATTTCCTATCTCTCTCTCTCTCTATATATATATTTTCCTTTTCTTTTCTCTCTTCTATTTAATTTACCCAATTTCCTATCTCTCTCTCTATATATATATATTTTCCTTTTCTTTTCTCTCTTCTATTTAATTTACCCAATTTCCTATCTCTCTCTCTATATATATATATTTTCCTTTTCTTTTCTCTCTTCTATTTAATTTACCCAATTTCCTATCTCTCTCTCTCTATATATATATTTTCCTTTTCTTTTCTCTCTTCTATTTAATTTACCCAATTTCCTATCTCTCTCTCTATATATATATATTTTCCTTTTCTTTTCTCTCTTCTATTTAATTTACCCAATTTCCTATCTCTCTTTCTCTCTCTCACTCTCTCTACATTTTCCCTATCTTCTCTCTCGATGACTTTCTATCACATGACCCTCTTTCTATCCCTATATTTGCTTCTCCCAATTTATCGTAAAGTTTCTCGCTCTCCCATTTTTCTATTCCCTTCTCTCATTATCTCTTTAAATGCTCCACTGTATTCTCCCCTTCTCTCGTTTGCAAACGGTATTCGCATCAAGATAAAATCCACATTCGCAGGTAGGTCTTCCAGATTCAGGGCAAAGCAAATGTTCTACAGTGTTTACAATATCTTTCAAACTCGTATATCTATAGAATCCTATGGAGTCATGATTGCTCTCTCAATGTGTATTTGTGTGTGTGTGTGTGTGTGTGTGTGGGGTACATTGATAACATTCCAACGTTCATTTCCGACGGAAAAAAACTTGCCCAGCTATTAAGAACTGACTGGAGGGAAAGAAGCTGGACTGATACCTTTCCATGTGTATTTAAGTGATAGCAAACGCAATGAGAATATTAACTCGACTTATTCGTTCGGTCGAGCAAGCGTGAGCATTCATGAGTCTATCACGCCAACCATCACTGTCCTGCATCATTACGGTGTCATTCCGTGTCATAACCGTGTCAGTGTATGTGGTTGCTGAGTGACCAAGCCATCTTGCTCCATGACGAGGTTTCCAGAACAGTAGACCATTCGCAATTTCTTGTTTTTCCCACCAGCACTGCCTTACAAAGCACATTCTGCGTACGACTATAAAATATCAACGATTTTTCTATAGAGCTATGATTTAGTTAGATGTTGTCGCCAGAGGTTAAGTATAGTTTTCAGCATCCAAGTGTTGCTTCCATCAAGCAGACTAGGGTTTTAGTTAATGTCCAAGCAGTGGAACTATACATTAACACTCCCTCTACAATGGCTCGAATGTATCTCCGCTTGAAATTGTCTGGTCGATCAGATTTACAGTTTACATCAATTTTATTCAAGGATTCCCAGGCTTTTCGCATTCTTTTCAGTAGAATTTATTTCGCTTCTTAGGTATGTAAAATATTCGACAGATTTTATTGATTCACCTCAGACAGTTTGTATTGAGCCTTGCTGGCTGAAGCCTATGAATTCAGAATGTTGACATAGTGTCTATACAGATGACCTAGCTATAACAGAATACATTATTACCAATGCCACAGTCCTGCTACATCATGTAGAAAATGCTTCTAACGATGTTGTATTCTATGTCAATGCCTCTAAATCTGAACTCAACATAACAAACCCACTTTTCGTGACGATAACCACAGACATCCACTGTTATCTTTGTACTTCCATCTAAATAACGATAAAATAAAACGTTTTAAGTATGGCAGCTTAAAA